TAAGATCTACAATTTCAACGTCTTTACTACTAAGATCTACAATTTCAAAGTCTTTACTACTAAGATCTACAATTTCCTTACTACTAAGATCTACAATTTCAACGCTCTTACTACTAAGATCTATAATTTCATTAAAATACCACATTTAACGAAAGATTTAATAATAATATCATCAGGAATTTGTTTCCAAGAATTTTTTACCCATCCACATACATTACTTATTCTAGCATGTCGAAGGTTTCCAGCTGCAGTTTTTCTGGCACCACCTTTTGTCATCCAAAGATGCCATTTCTTGTGAAGATTGTCTTTGAATGGTTTATTAATTGTAATGTCGAGTGGTTGGCAAATACTAGTTAAGCCAGCCAGAATAACCACTAAATCAATATCACTATCGTGAAACTTATCTTTGACCGAATCTTTCAAATGTTCTTTAAACAAATCGTATACTATCATTGCTGGAACCTCACATTCATCATCATTACTCATATCATTAAGATAATCAACATATCGTATCATCAAATTGGTATCCATCTAGCCGTTATCTTGAAACCAAGCAACAACACCAGATAAAATTTTTTTACTACGTGGTAATTGTTTCTCTTTAAAAATACAAATTGGCGGAAATTTTGTTCCATCTATAAAAAAACAAATATGAATTGCAATTCATATTGTTGTACGGCATAATATCTACACAAGGGTATTAAAAAAAAAAAAAAAACATTATATAATATTTTATTAGGAAGTTAAAAAAATTATTTCTACCTGCGGTGCATGTTAAAACTACTATAAACTGATTTTTGTCATTATTAGTCCCATGAATATGAATTGTTTTATTATTCTTTTGATTGATAGTAAAGTTTTTAACCATATTGAACCAAATAGGTGTTTCATCCATATTAAGAATGTTTGCTAATTCAAATGTTTTTTTTTCTAAGGCGAATAACAAATTGATAAAATTTTTTTAATAATTCGTTGGTTTCTGAAGGAAGCTTTTGTGAAACCTTAGTATATCACCACCAAGATAGCTTATACTTTTTCATAAATGCAGATATCTAACGATTTGATGTTTTAAAATTGTTCACTAAATTTCTATAAAGAATTATTATATCAGGTTCTTTTAAAATGTTTAGCATCTTAATGTGTGCAATCTTATAAGAAATGCCCAATCCTTTTTTTCTCTGTTCTATAATCCAATCATATAGTCTTTTTTCTGCTCTAGGGTAAAATTCTTTTTGACCAGAACCGACTTGTTTGGTGTTTTGTTTTATCTCAGCTTCCCATAGCCTAATTGCTTTAATTTAATGGCCAACCATACTAGGATCAAGCTTAAAGGCTGCTGCAGCTTTATTTTTCTTATTTTCTTTAGCATAGACGACAACTTGTTTCTTTTGTTCAATAGAATATGAATTACACTCACATTTAATAACTTTTCTTTTTT